CATAAAAACAATAACATGTTTTAGCATATTTGTAATCTATTGAAATAACTAATTAGTTTTACTAAATTAAAATATCTATTATCTAATGATATCTATTTTTTTTAAGAAAATATATAAATGAATTAATGTTATTATAAGATTTTAATTATTATTAAGATATTAAAAAATAAAAGTTTTATTAATAGACTATATGTCTAGACAATTTACTAGACATGATGTTTATCAATGATAAAAATATCTATATATATTATTATTATAATCATAATAAAAACAAATTTAATGATAATAAAAAAATGTCATATTTATTGTATTTATTTTACAAAATATTATATATAAATAGATAATTAATTATATGTAGGAAAAATAATGAGACAAATAGTGATTGTATTAATCATTAAATTTAAAACAAAAATGAATTTTCAATTAAATTTTCATTATATTATTTAATATAATAAATTAAAATTAAAAAAAAATCAATTTAATTAGTAAATGTAATCTAAAAGTTTTAAATTATATTACACATCATTTCCTTGTTATAAACGTTAAGTTATTTAGATATTTAGATATTTAACAATATATTCATTATTATGAGATTATTTAAAAATATATTTTTATGAATTTTTAATTAAATATTATATAATATATTATATATATATTGTAGGTATTATTATTATAAAATGTTATATATTAAAGAATTTAATTAAATGATTTTATTGAATAAAATAAAAACAAATTTATGTTTTTATTTAATTATACAATTAATACAAATTATTGGATAATTTGAATACTGTATATAAATATGATAATATACTAGAAGTTTTTTTTGTTAGTTTTTTTTCTAAAACATAAATTAATTATTATAATTGATTTTAATAAATAATTTTTTTTTTAAAAAACAATTCATTAATTTGAATTTATTATTAAATACTTTTATGTGATATTTTGTTTGTTTGTTTTGTTAATTATTTTAATGTACTGTCAGTAAAATATTAATTTTAATTTTATATGTCATATAAATTATTACTGTTTTTTTTGTTTTGTTTATAAAATATTATATATAATTACAGTATATATTCATACTATAGTTTGCTACTATAATTGATCATAAAGTGTAAAAAACACATTCAAACAATTGAATATAAATTATTTACTTAAGTGTTAGTTTTAATATTATTATTATTATTATTTGTTTATTTATATTCAGGACTATGTGTTTTTTAATAGTAATAATATATTATATAATAATAAATTGGATATACTCTAAATATAATATAATATAACAATATAAAAACATATACAATATTTAACTTACAAAACAATTTAGTAATAAATAATTTATGATAATATCTAACATATAATACACATAAAATATGAGTTATGTGTTAAACTTATTATAATTAGATTTATATGAATTTATATATATATATATACAGTATATACTGTATAATAAAACCGTTTTTTTGCTTGTTGTTGATTATATAACTTATATATGTGTGGAGTAATGTTATCAATATAATTGATATTAAATATATTTATATATAAATATTTATTATATTGAAATGTATTATATTTTCATTAAATATAATTATCTATGAATGCATATTTAAAAAAAATCAATATGAATAAATATGTTAAGATAATAATCTTAAATATAAATTATATTTAAGATTATATATATATATATATATATAATATCATATACTATATATCATATAATAGATATGATATTTCAATTTATGTTTTATAATTTAGAAAATAATATATTATTATTATTATTTTATTATTACTATATATACCATATAATACAATATATAAAGTATATAGTTTTGTTGTTTTTGGCGTTAACGATACTAATTATATATCAATATATATATATATATATATATATATATATATATATATATATATATATATATATATTTATACTGTATATCATATATATATACTTATTAAACCTGTGATGTGTTATATTATTGTTTATTTGTTTTGTTAGTTTTGTCTATATATTGAAGTCTAAATATTTGTAATTTATTTCCATTGCTTACGATATATAAGAGATGATAAAAACTAAAACTAAACCAATATTTACTGATAAAAATTAATAACAAATAAAAATAACTATACATTAATTGTTGGCAACAAAAATATATATAATGATAACAATATCTACAACAAAAATAATATCAATTTTATTTATTTAATTACTTAAAGTAGTGATATTATCTATATAAACTTTATATATATATATATATATAAAATTTTTGTTTGTTTGTAATTGTAACAATAATCATCATATATCATAATTTTTGTTCAATAGTGATTTTTTTTTGTATTTTTTTAATTAATAATATTGTTGATAATGTAACTTCATTGTACTGTATATATTGCTATCATTCATAGTATAACTAAAGTATATAATATATATATTGAATGGATACTTTGCGTGTATGTGTATGTGTATGTGTATGTGTATGTGTATGTGTATGTGTATGTGTATGTGTATGTGTATGTGTATGTGTATGTGTATGTGTATGTGTATGTGTATGTGTATGTGTATGTGTATGTGTATGTGTATGTGTATGTGTTTTGTTGAAGTTAGCAATTATATATATATATAAAGTTTTTTGTGAAATCATTTATTACATGTTGTATAATAATGATAATGAAATTTGTTTTTATACTTTATTAAACTTATTTTTTTTAAAAAAAATATTTAAGATTTATTTTATTTTCTATCACAAACAAAACACTAATAACACGTTTTGTTGACAATCTTAAAAAACAATCGTTATTTTTTTCATAAAAATATTGTTAGTTTAGTTAAATTAATGTTTAATTTTTTGTGTGTTTTGTTTTGATTATAAAACAAAACAGAAATAAATTTAATTTATGATTTTTTATAAATTTATTTTCTCAAAACTATATAAAGTTCAAGTCTAAAAATCAAACTAAAAATAATATTTTATTGATTAATAATTTTTTGGATAAAACTAAGATTATAATTTTTTAAAATTCAATTACTAATTAAAATTGTTTTTATATAAAATTGAAACGTATAAATAGTAATAGTAATAATAGTGAAAAATTAACTTAAGTTTACTATAAATATATTGCTATATACTGTATAAAGTATATTAAATAATAATAATTTTATAAAATCAATTTATATGTTTTTTTTATTAATAACTGATTAGTAAGTTACTTAAATTAACTATTTATATATATACTGTAAATGTTTAAACTAAATAAATAATTCAAAAATATATCTAGGTGTATCTAATTTTAAATAATATTATTAATACTATATATATATATATATATATATATATATATATATATATACCGTATATATATATATATACCGTATATATATATAATATTTAGATTAATTATATACATTAAGTGCAATAATAGATTTTTAGATCTTAAGATCTATAGTATGTAATCTTGACTATAGTATTAAGTTATTTGTTATAAAATACTTTTCAAACAAAACAAAACAAAAAAGCAAACAAATGAATTGCAACTTTAATTTCAATCAATAAATAAAAGTGTGTCTTAACTGCTGCCCACATACATTGACACACATATACATATACACTTACATACATATACACACGCATACACACACATATAAACATATATATACACACACATATATACACACACATATATACACACACATATATACACACATATATATACACACACATATATACACACACATAGACACACACATAGACACACATAGACACACATATACACACACATATATACACACGCATACATACACACACATACACACACACACATACATTGATTAGATATGATATAACTGTATATCGTTTTTAATACCGTATCACTAATGTAAGTAAATAAAAGCTATGTTAAGATTTTTCTTGTTGTTGTTGTTGGTTTGCTTGGAGATAAAAATAAAGAAAATAATAATCACAAAAAACAAAAAACAAAAATTTGTCAAAATTTATACGATATTTTATAGATGTATAGCATGCGTACACAGATAAACCTGGCTAACTATAATACACTAACCTAAAAGTACAGTACAAATATTGAAATACAGTTATATCTACAGTAATGTTATATAATATTCCTGTATATCAGAATTTGAACCGAAAAAAATACTACTAAATATAAGTTATATATGTATACAGAATATTCTCTATAGAATATATATATATAGTATTACTGTTATATAAAACTACTGTTTTTTACTGTATAGTATACACTGTAGGAAATATATGTATATATAATGTTTTACTCATAATATTACACTACAATACTGTATATCCACATTATATCCAATTATATAACCGTATGTATAGCCTATGCGTGACATATGATCCACAAAACTACTGAATATACAAAATATATTTTTTTTWTCTCTCTCTCTCTCTCTCTCTCTCTCTCTCTCTAAATAAATAAATATTATAGTCTTTTTTCGGTATAATATTCATAATACACTATATCTCCTAAAAAAACATATTTTCTATTGTTATTTATATTGAATATTAGTTACTATTTATGTGCTACTATACTACAGTATAATATATTTTATGTGAATAAATACAATTTATCTGATATATATTAAATGTGAAACAATTTTTCTATTCAATAATAATAATAATATTTAATATTTATCGATAAAAGTGTAGTAATCTACAACTTATTGTATATATATATATATATAAATATTAATAACATATTATTAACACTCAATCAAATTCATAGCATTTTATTTATTTTTTTTTTTGACAACAAGTTTATCTCTTATTTTTTAAATAATAATAATAATTTTATGTAATAAAAAAATTAATTAATTAATAATTTTAAAAAAACAATGTCTTAACAAAATGTTACAAAAAATCATATATTAATTATGTGTTGTATTTGTTATCATCAATTAACATGATTTTTTTGAACCAAAAAAAAAATTAATTAAATAAATATTAAAACTAAAACTATTAATACAACTAAACAATATGTCGTCGGATAATATCATGATTGACGAAAATATTGCGGTAATGTTTGAAAATAACGGCAAAACTGATTACTACTACAACAACAACAACAATAGTAACCAAACGGACGGCCAGAGCATCGACAACACGACGGCTGCGGCGGAAGCGGACGCGGCGTTTATGGACGAAGTTATACGTCAGCTACGGGTCAGACATAACCGTCCACTTACTGGTGACGAACTGTTTGGCAATTTAGTGATTATTATCGGTTATACGATAATTATTTTTGTCTCACTGGTCGGTAATCTATTGGTAATCAAAGTGATTATCGGCTGCTTCTTCAGTGGCAGTGGTAGCTGTGGAGGAGGCGGAGGCGGCCGCCGTAAACCGAAAATGTTGATCACTACTACCAACCTATTGATAGTATCGTTGGCCGTCAGCGATCTGGTTATGACCGGGTTTAACATACCGTTTAATGTGGCCCGACTGCTACTACAATCGTGGCCATTTGGATCGTTTATGTGTGTGTCGGTACCATTTGTACAGGTAGGTGGGTGTGTKTGTGTGTGTGTCAATGGGAATGGATGGGTTGGTGGGTTGGTTGGTTGGTTGGTTGGTTGGTTGGTTGGTTGGTTGGTTGATTGGTTGGTGGGAACTGTACTATTAGTATTAGTATTAGTATACGGTAGTAGTAGGTAGTATTATCAACCAAATAGATAATAATAATTATTATTAAGTAAAAAAAACATATACTGTATATAAGTTACATTTATACTAGGGAGAATTACCTGTAATAATAATTAATTACTACCCCCACCCTGTATACATTTTTTTTTAATTTACAAAGTGTGTGTAAATTACATTGCACCCAATTGATGCCCTTATAATTTTATTTTTAAATAGCTAATCTGTACAGTAATTTCTATACAGTAAGGTTTCAGTATATAGATTGAGTCAATTAAAAATTATAATTTATAATTTATACTGTAATTCAGTGACTGTATAATATACAGTGTATATTATAAATATATATATATATATATATATATATATATATATACATACATAGACACACACACACACACACACACACACACACACACACACACACACACACACACACACACATACATACATACACACACACACACACACAYACAYACAYACATACAAAGTTATATCTAATATAATATATAAACAGTGTATGAATTTTATAAATTTTTTCATAAGTTATTTAATTTTAAAGTTCAATAAAATTTATATTTTTTCAAAATTTTTTTTAAATAATTTAGTGAATTTTTTTAAATATTTATATATATATATAATAATAATAATAATAATAATAATAATTAAATTCAAACTCAAAATTCAATAATTAAACTTGAAAATTTATTTGAACATCCCCTTTTACCCAACGTCCCCCTCCCCACTCTACACCCATACCCTCCCACACAACGCTAAACAGGTTACCTGTGTCTATGTTAGTACATTTACGATGACAGCTATAGCCTATTACCGATGGTGGACACTAACAACCCGTACAACGCCGACAATGTCAACAACGGCTGCGTCGACGTCGTCGTCGTCGGCGGCGGTGGCTATGGCCACCAAATCGCTGACCACTTGGCAAACATTGGTAATTGTTGGCAGTATTTGGCTGTTGGCCGCCTTGTTCGCCGTACCGCACGCGGCCTTCAATCGGACAATAGTCATACCGCGTTTGGACAATATGGTACGGTGTGTGGTCATACACCCGACGGTTGTAATAATGGTCACTACGACAACAACAACAATTGATTGGCCACTATGGCTATCCATCGAAGCGCTGGCCACTCAATATTTTATACCGCTGTCGATAACCGGTTGGCTGTACACGAAAATTGCTGCTATTGTTGCCAAACAAGGAGCCGCTGCTAACAACGGTGCCACCGGTGTTGGCCAGTCGTCAGCGTCCACCTTATCGCTAGTGGTCAGCAGTCGGACTACGGCTGCCCGTAAACGCCGTATTGTTATGTTGGCACTGGTAGTCATCGTTTTTGGCTTGTGTTGGCTACCATTGAATTTGTATCATCTGTTGGTCGACTTTCGGCTAATTGGCCGCAATTTTACCGCATTTATCGTTTGTCATTGGTTTGCAATGTCCTCTGTTTGGTAATTATTATTATTACAGTTATATAAATATATATTTTTTTAATTTAGTAAATATACTGTATATACAGTATATATAATTATTATACCGTATAATAAGCTATAATAATATAGTTTAATATCTTTAACACTTATTATTGCAACAAAAAATAAATAAATAAATACCGAAAATGTCGAAACAATTTATTTTTTATATTATTATATTTTTTGTCATAAAAAATGATGATATCTTTTTGATGGCTTTATCTTTTGATGTCAATGATGTGTAACGATATAAATATAGTATATGTATGTATTAAATATATATACTATATATGTACTGTATATATATATATGTATATATATATATAGTAATAAATATTTATATATTACATATAACTTTGAATATATATATATATATGTGTGTGTGTGTGTGTGTGTCTATATACCATATTAATAGTATGTGTGTATATATATGTGTATATATATATGTGTGTGAGTGTATATATATATATATATGTCTATATATGTTAATGTTTGTTTTAGATATTGATATAAACATATAATACTTTATTTTTTTCGGGGATATGGGTTAGATTATATGTATATAAATATAGCAATATATATGTTTGTTTGTTTGTCATATGGGGATTTAATATTCAATTTAGCATGGATAATTTTGTCAATATTTTATGATATTAGTAGTTTTTTTTGCGGGGCAGATTGTGATTTCTGTATAAGAGGGGTAATTCTCATATTACGAAGGGGGAGGGGTGTTAACCATAGTAGACTTTTGTGAACGCGGAGGCGGTGAAGGAGGGGTAGAGACCTTAACGACGTTTGCATTTAAATAATATTTTATTTCTTAGAGATGGGGGCAGGGGTAGGGGTTAGATATTAAAGACATGCAAACGTATTTTGTAAATATTGGGTGAGGAGGGTGTCTATATAGTCTTAAAAAGTGCAAACGTTATATGCGAATCACCTCCCATATTACAAAGTTTGCATAACAACAATAATACTAAAAAAATAAATGATAAATATCTCATATATATATAATCATATATTTTTTGTATAATATATAAAGTATTAAAATGTTCTTTTAGTTATTTTTTATTATTTTTTTTGATGATTAATAATAATATATTTTTTTCCATATAAATAAAAATATTATTTTATATAAAAATATTTTGCTTTGTTTTAAGTTTAATATAATAATTTCATATTAGTATATATATATTACTGAACAATAATTATTATAAAGTATATAATTAATAATTCATTTAATATTATTTATAATAATAGTTTGTTTAAATTATAGACTATTTTTGTTTTGTTTTATTATTTAATATATAAAACTATAAAATTTACTGAACAATATATTTTTTATGACAAAAAATATTAATTTATATATTTTTTTGTTATATATATTTAAAGTAAATAATAAAAATATATATTTTATAATTGTGGAATTTATGATTAATATAAAACTAAAAAAATATATTATTACTATATATTTATGAAAAATTATAATTATTTTTTTTTGAAAAACTATTTTTTATATTAAATAATAAATTTAGTTTTAAGGATTTATAACAACAACAAAAAATATTTTAATATATTTTTGAATTTTATATAACTTTTATTTTTAAAAAAATACATATTTATATCATAGGAATATTCTGTATATATATATATATACAATAATATTGAAATAATCTAATCTAAAAATAATTGCATTAAATTGTAATTTTGTTTTATTTTTCTAGGAATACACAAAAAAAACTCGATAGTAGTATTACATGTGTTTTTTTGAATTTTAGTTTTTAATTCAAAATAAATTGTCTTCAAAAAATAAAATAAAAATGATTTCATAAATTTGTTTTCTTTTTATAAAGCGATTATAAAATATATTATACTGTATTATATAAATTTTCATATACAGTATACTGTATTATAAATTATAATAATGTATAATACTTTTTTGTTGTGTGTTATACTTATTTGTTACAACTAAATGATTTATGTATTTATGTGTGTGTGTGTGTGTGTGTGTGTGTGTGTGTGTGTAGTAAGTGAATGAGTAAGTGAATTAAGAGAGAGAGAGAGAGAGAGAGAGAGAGAGAGAGAGAGAGAGAGAGAGAGAGAGAGAGARAGAGAGAGATTTTCTTATTATATAAATGTTAAGTTATTAACTTTAAAAACTTTAAGCTCCGGGATCATTGAGTTAACAGTATTATTATATGTCATAGCTATGCCATAGGGATATATATACTATAGTATTATATTTTTTTTTTTTTTTTAAATATTCAGACCAATCAATCTTTAGTTTCAATTTTTTTTTTGTTGAAAATTTGATAATAATTTTATGATTAAATAAAAATATAATATTTATCATCATATTTATCTTATTATTTATTTTTTAAAGAAAATTAAATTATTAAATATTATACATTTAATTATATATTTTTTTTCGATTAAATATTATGATTTATTTTTGTGTTGAAAAAATATAATTATAATAATGACAAATAAAGTAAATAATATTATAGTTGTTATGTAATTATATTAATAGTTTTAAAAAATAAATATTTTTGTTGTGTAGTTATAAAAACAAAAATATATTTAAAAAAAATATTTATATACTCATTATATAATAACTAATTAAAAATTTTTGAATTAATTAGCAGAAAAAAAACTTATTATGATTTTAATTTGTTTTTTTCCCAAAAAAATAAATAATTATAGCTATAATCCATTCATCTATTGTTATTTAAATCAAAACTTTAAAAATGCTGCCAAAAATTGCTATCAATTTCTAATGTGTCGACACCGACACCAACATCGCCAACAACAACAACAACACTATAACCGATGGCTGATTAATACGGACGGCATTACATCATCGGTGACCACCACCGCTGCTGCTGCTGTTGATGACCATAGGATGACCGCCGCTGCCGCCGCCGCGGCCACCGATAACTATGAGCTAACAAATGTTAATACTATTGAACTGATAGAACTGGGAGCTAATAATTATGATGTCGACAACGATGCCGATGATGATGATGATAATGATAATGATATAAACAGTGGTGTATCCGATTAGGTAATGGAAAGTAGTATTAGTGGCACAGTTAGCTTTTTTTCCATATAACAGTTTCATAATGACTATAAGATTGATATATATTATACAGTACTATAATTTTTAGGCTTTATCTTACATACATAAGTAGACATACATAGACATACAATAAGTAGACATCTATACCAACACATACACTAACAAACTTACATAAGTTATACATAAAATAAAGTGTATAATTGTTAATTACAATACAATACTTAATTATATATATATATATATATATATATACTGTATATATATATATCTTTTTACATCCCTGTCCTCTCTTTGTCTCTATCACTCAGTCCTAAATGTCGACCGATTCAGATTCAAAGCTTTCGCGACCACTGTTGAGATTTGCCGGCGAAAAGCAGATATACGGGACACACTTAGAGGTGGGCAAATAGAAAGTTTCTAATAAATTTATTCCTGAGAAAGTTTCTAGAAAGTTTCTCAGGAATAAATTTCTATAGAAATTTAACTTTTTTGCTGTTGTTATACTATGGGATCCCCATATCTATAGATATTGTAAAACTATAAATATATTAATGAGACAAATACTACTATACATATAATATTATACTATATAATGTAGATTACTATATAATACTATATTATACAAATGGGATACCTATATAAATAATTATAATTATTTAATAATAATCAGTTTTGTAAAATTTTATTCACCATTTTATTATATCATAGTTTAATATAATTAAATAAATAAATTTTTTTACTTTAATTAATAATTAAAATACTAATAATAATATTTAAATTACATTACTTATAAAAACAATCTTAAAGATAACAAATATTGAGAAAACAAAATTAACCATGGGGATCCCTATAAATAGAATTTTTTTTAGAAACTTTCTAGAAATTTCTTTTAGAAACTTTCTAGAAATTTCTTTTAGAAACTTTCTAGAAATTTCTTTTAGAAACTTTCTAGAAATTATCTATTATTTTATAAATTTCTCTTTTTTTTGCCAACACTAGAGACACTCCTACACGAGATGACACACACACACACACACACACACCTATCAGTTTTTTCACTAAACATTAGCGGTAAGTATACATACGATACATACGATACATACCTACCTATCCACATATCTACCGTTTCCTAATTAAACCCTAATTCCCTCTCCTCTATTATCTATAGATGCTCATGGACCATGCTCAAGTTTATCAATATCAATATCTAGGTCTATGACCTACAGATGATGTTTTTTTATAGGTCATGGATCCAAAAATCGTAGACATCGGGAAAAATAACAACAATACTAATGGATATAAATAACTAAAATAACTTATAATATCTAATATACTAATCATTTATTACTAATTTTTTTTATTACCCATTGACTATTTAAATCTCCTGTTAATATACTTGTATAATAATAATAATAATAATTACATTATATAATCTATAGAATAGACAAAAATTAATTAATTAATTGATTTTTTAAAACTTGTAAATTATTAGCATTTAACGCATAATTTCCTATTATTATTATTATTATTATTATTATTATTATTATTATTATTATTATTATTATTATTATTATTATTATTATTATTATTATTATTATTATTATTATTATTATTATTATTATTATTATTATTATTATTATTATTATTATTATTATTATTATTATTATCTTTGTATATCACGGTTGTTCCGGTGTGATCACAGTTGTGTCGGCCACTTTTTGGTGGCAGAGACACGACTGGTTAGACTCAACTCAAGTCTAGTACTTTTCTGACTGTTCTACAACTCTGAAGTATCACTGCTTTTTGCATTTCATAGATCTTAGTTTTTCTGATTTCCAGTGATTCCAAACTTAGGGCCAGATTTTTCGGTATTACGGCCATTGATGACAAGATTATAGGTATGATTTCAACTTTCTTAATGCGCCACATCTTATTGATCTCATAGGCCAAGTCTGTATATTTTCGACGTTTCTCACTATGCGTGTCCTGTAGTTTGTGTGTTAGTGGGACCGCTATGTCTATTATGTACGCCTTATCTTGATGTTTGTCTACTAGTACTATATCTGGGCGGTTGTGGGCCACAGTCTTATCTGTTCTTATTTCTTTATCCCAGTAGAGCTTGGCTCTGTTGCTTTCCATTACACTTTGTGGCTCGTATCTATAGTATGGTAATGGTTCTTTAATTAGTCCGAATCTTATTGCCAATTCCTGATGTATGATTTTGGCTACTTGGTTGTGACGGCTTAGGTACTCGGTGTTTGTGAGTACTTTACACCCATTTAGTATATGTTCTATTGTTTCGGACTCCATATGACACATCCTGCACTTGTCTGTTGGTATATTTAGCTTTTGGATGTATTTCTGATGGTTTCGTGTCGGAATCACTCGATCTTGTATTGCCATCATGAACCCCTCTGTCTCTCCATGAAGACCAGCGTACTTCAACCATTTTGTAGACATTTCTTCGTCTACGTGTGTTTGGTTGAGTTCTGCCCGGTATCTTCCGTGAAGTTCTTTTGAGGCCCATGTGTTAATCCTCTCTTTTTCATTTTGTATTTCTATTTGATGTTCATTATTGCTGAGATTTAGAGGTGTGTAGTTGTAATCGAGTGTTGATGTTATTTTGTGGAGCTCTGAGACATTGCATTTTTGTTGATGGTATTTTCTCAGCAATTCTCGCTGTTTGGCTTCAAGGCTTACAATGTTTAGTAACCCTCTACCCCCATGTTTTCTACTAACACATAGTCGTGCTACAGAACTTCTAGGGTGGTGTAGTCCAAACATTGTAAGTTGTCGCCTTATATGTCTTTCAATTGTCTCAAGTTCTGTTTTACTCCATTTTATTATTCCGAACGAGTATGTCAGTACAGGTATAGCCCAAGTGTTTATTGCTTTGAATTTGTTGTTTGAGTTTAGTTGAGATTTTAGTATTTTTGTTATTCTTTGGTTTAATGTTTTCTTTATTTCTTCTTTAACTTCTGTCATTTTAGATTTATGCATTTGCTTAATTCCTAAGTACTTATATATATCTCCATTTTCTAGTGCCTTTATATATCCATTTTCAGTTTCGTATTGATTTCTTTCAGAATAGACTCCTCTTTTCAGTTTCATTATAGCACATTTATCTAATCCAAATTCCATATTTATATCATTGGAGAAAGTTTCTGTTGTTTTTAGCATTGCATTTAAATCAGATTCTTTTTCGGCGTATAGTTTTAAGTCGTCCATATATAGTAGATGTGTTAGATTATATTTTGTATCACTTGATTTTAGATTTACGCCTTTTAGCTTTTTAAGTAGTGATGACAGTGGGTTTATGGCTAAGCAGAACCACAGAGGACTGAGTGAATCTCCTTGAAATATTCCTCTATTTATTTTGATTTCTGTACTTATTTTTGTTCCATTATTTGTATTGACACACAATTTAGTTTTCCATTTTTTCATCATATTTTCTAATGTGTTTATCAGTGTGTTGTCAATTTTATATAGTTTTAACACTCTTAATAACCATTTATGTGGGACTGAATCGAATGCTTTCTTATAGTCTATGTATGCCATTTCAAGATTTCTATGTTTTTGACGAGCTCTTATTGTTATAATATTGTCTATTGTTAATTGCTCTTTACAGCCCATTGAGTGTTTTATACAGCCTTTTTGTTCTTCAGCTATTATGTTGTTGTTACTTAAATGATTATATATTTTTGTTGATATTATGGATGTTAGGATTTTATACATTGTTGTTAGGCAAGTGATGGGTCTATATTTGCTGGGATCTGATGTATTTTCTGTTTTTGGGAGTAGATATGTTATTCCGGAAGTGAGGAAGTCATCGGTTTGTCCTGTTTGTATTATTTTATCCATTGCTATTGCCATTGGTTGATGTACTGTTGTAAAGTGTTTGTACCAGAAGTTTTGTATTTTGTCTTGTCCTGGGCTTTTCCAATTGTGGGATTTCTTGAGAGCTTCGGTTAAGTCATCTTTAATTATATTTACTGAAGTCATATGTGGTATTTCTTTATTTTCATCTTCAATATCATTTATCCAATTAGATTCTTTATATTCCTTTGGGTTACTCCAGATTTCTTTCCAGTAGTTTTCTATTTCATCTATTTGTGGAGTATGGTTAATATTGCTTGAATTTATTTTGTTTTGATTTCTATAGAACATTTTTTCGTTATTATAGAACATTGTATTTTGTTTTCGTCTTTCGCTTTGTTGTTTATATCTTCTGATTCTTTGTGATAGTGCTTGAACTGTTTGTTTTAATGTGTCGTTGTAATTCCGGATAATAGCTTCAAATTCAGGTTTTCCAGGTTTTGTCTGTAATAATCGGTATATATCTTTTAATGATTGGTTAAGTCTTTTTGATTTGTTTCCATTTAACACTTGCGTTATTCTTCCTATTACTTGTCTTTTCCCTTCTATACGTGTCTCTATTCGCTTTTGCCATTTAGGTATTATATTTTCTTGATTTGGTTTTGTAGTTGACATGTGTTGTATTTTGTAGCCTAAGAGTCTCGATACTGCTACTGCTGCACAGTATGTTATTGTATTAATTGTGCTCAACGACATGTTATCTTCGATGTAATCTTTAAGTATATCATTAATTGTTATTATTGTAGATCTTGTTTTTACGCCACTTTTTATTTTTGGTAACTTAGGTCTGAGTTCTATTTCAAAGTCTTTATATTGTTCTAAAGAAGTTTTTAGTTCATTTTCTGCTGTTATTCTATTTATTTCATCATTTGTATTGATTCTGTTATCTGTTGTTGTAGGTGTCTCTTCCATTTCTGGCACTACTTCTACTGTGGTATTTAATTCAGTTGTTTCATTTAATGATAGTTCATGTGCCACTTGCTGTTTGATTTCTTGTAATTCTATTGGGGATATTTTATTATTCTTTGCTAAGAATCGCCGCTGGTCTGCAATCCTTTGTTCCGTTACATTTAGTTCTGGATATTTCTGTTTGAATGCTAAGTAAATTT